ACTCAATAAGTTTATAGATATGAAATCCACCCTGAATTATAATTTCAAAAAAAGGACAAAAAACTCCTCAATAAGAAATGAGACAAGAATTGACTGAATTCAAGAAAGAAATGAAAAAAAAAAAGTATCTCAAACCTGAAAAATAATTAGAAGGTATTTAAGAGAGATAATACTCTAATGAAAATTTAATAAGATGTATTTAAGAAAGGGAAGAAAGCAAGCAAGAGGAAGAGAGTGAATTTAGGAAAGAAGTAAAAAAATGTTAGAGAGAAAGTCAGATGAGGAAGGGGTGGCATGTGTACTATTGGAGTCTCCAAGGAAGAACAGAGCTAGATTTAAAACTACAAACAAGAAAACTTTTCCAGAAATAGTCACCAAAAGCCCTAAACCACATAATGAAAGGATACAAGGTACTGGAAACACTATCCCAGAATGATGAACTTTGAGACATTTCCTAATAAAATGATTAGATTTAAAAGATAAAGAAAAATTCTGAATTTCACAACACAAAAAGACCAACTAGCTTACAAACGCAAAAACTGCTATTGACTTTAGAAAAAACAAAAGGGTAACAAAGGAGGAGCATAGTGAAAAGACTTCAAAATGGCAGATGTGAGCCAAGGCTGTTGTAGCTGTGTCCTTCAATGGGTAAACCCCAACAGAGAAGCACTTGAGGAGCTCTGGAGTGCAGAGCCTTCCATGAAGAGTCTGCTGAGTATGGATTTTGCCAAGCCGAGAGATGGCCAGGCAATTTAGTGTAAGGATGGCAGTGGATGCGATTGTATGATAGCTAAGCCTGACTTGTCAACTTGATTGGCTTTGGGAGCCACCCAGGGGATTGAAAGCACACTGCTGGGTCTGAGTAAGGCATGGAGATGTGATCTTGATACTGTATATGATCCTTGGCCCTTCCCTCTCTGGTGTTTGTGCCCTGCTTTGGAACCAGCCAATCATGGAGTGAATCTGCTGAGACTCTGAGCCAAATTAAACTTCTCTGCCTAGAAGCTGTGGATGTTGGTTATTGTGTCCCAGTGATGAGAAACGTCACTGATGCAAGTGCCCATACACTAGAGGTAACTGTAGAGAGGGCCAGGCAACATGAATGCAAATGTTACACATTTTGACAAAGAGCAACTGTGAAGACTGGGAGAAGAAGGGAGGCACAAAGAGGAATATAGATGATCTCACTGGCTATAGTACAGAAATAGGTGGGAATTAAAGGATATTAAATAAAAATAAGCCAGATATTAAAAGTTTAAATAATAAAATATGGGACCAAGGATATTAAAGCAGCTTAGAAGGGATTAGTGGTACAGCAGATGCTTAGTATGAACAAGGCTTTGGGTTCAATTCCCTGCACTAAAAAATAATCTGAAATTAAAATAAAATAATGTTAGAAACACAATAAATAAGTAGATCAAAATTATATAAATTACAATCCATAAATTAAAATAGGAAGGCAGCCTGATGTGGTGGTGCACAACTGTAATCCCAGCTACTCAGAAGGCTGAGGCAGAAGAATTTTAAGTTTGAGGATAGTCTGGTCAGTTAAGCAAGGCTGTCTCAAAATAAAATAAAAAGGGGTTGGTGATATATTCAGTGGTAGAGCATTAACATGTGTGAAGCCTTGGGTTCAATTTTCCATATTAAAAAACAAACAAAAAAATCTCACTAATATATACCTCATTGAAGAAAACAGCAAATATAACAACATACAGTTATAAAATGTTATGACAGACTAAGCCTATCAACAATATCAATTACTGTCAACGGGCTTAACTTTTGTACTAAAAAAGATTTTCAATTTCAGTCACAATTGGAGATCAAACTACATGCTATATATAAGATGCATACCTACAACATAGGGATTCTGAAAAGTTTTCATAAAAGAATGAATAAATACATCCTGAGCAGATGGAAAAGAATAAAAAAGCAGGGCAATGATTCAGATAACAACTGGAACTCAAGTCCCCAAAGTATCAAATATGACAAAGCAGAGCACTTCTTTTTGTTGAAGCGAAGCGCCTTTGAATACTAAAAGTCACAATCCATAAATAACGTATAGCACTTATGAATATGCATGTACCCAGTCACAGGGCAACCACATTTATGAAGTCAGTTAAGAATAGAAGATAGACAAATACAAAGAAACAAACTATGTTTCTTTAGTAAGATTTTTAAACATTCTCAGTAAAAGACAGATTAAGTGAGCAAATATCAAGCAAGGAAGTAGAAAACCTAAACCATATATAGTAATCAGTAAAGCAAGGATTATGCATAGATATCATACTCCATTTTCTGATGATAGAAAATATACCTTTTTTTCAAGTACTCATGGGACATTTCACTAAAAAGTTAAAAAAAAGTTCAATAAACTCCATAAAATAGAAATATTATTAATAACACTGATCACAATGCAATAAAACTAGAAATTACTAGAAAAACAAAAGGTTGCAATATTGAAATTAGAAATGTCAAGCTGGGTGTGGTGGAGCACACCTGTGATCCTAGTACTTGGGAGGCTGAGGCAGGAGGATTGCTGTGAGTTTGAGACCAGCCTGGGCTACATAATGAGTTCCAGGTCAGTTTCAACTACATAATGAGACCCTGTTTCAAAAACAAACAAAACAAAAAAAGAAATTGGAAATCTCCTTGGAAAGCACTAGTGGATACTGGGAGACTATGAGGCCCTCTCTGAGGGTGGTGGGGTGGTGGTGGTGGTGGTGGTCCTGAGTTCCTAGTGACTTGGGCAGCATAGTGAGCCTCTGAGGGCAAGGACCTGGATATGTGTAGGAGTCACTGTAATGTAGGGTGCAAGACCTGCCTTGAGAGAGAAGGAATCAGGTAAGGACAGGTGAGGGCCATATGTGCAAATGGTGGCCTATAGGTCTTGGGGTCCCGAGGCTTGTTGGGCACCAGAAAGAGAGGCTGTAAAGGTGGGAGGTATTTCTTGAGGGGGATGCTTGAACTTGCTGGCAATGCAGCAGAGGGTAGGACCATGAGAATAGGTAGCTGCAGGGGGATAGAAGACAAGATCTCTGGGACACAGAAGATCTAAGTAGGAGAAGACAAGATAAGGGAAGGAGTGAAATCCCCAGTATCAAGGCAGTGTTAAGTAATTTAAGGCAAGAGGGTATCACTGACAAGGAGCTGCATCCTCAAGGAGTGAGGGGGTGGCACAGGGTGGATATGTGGTGGATGGGTGGCAGGTGATACAGATTGAGTATAGGAGATTCAGAGCTGAATTTTAGGGAGGAGTCACAGCAAGGACCCTGGCCCCACCTCCAGCCCAGGGATCTGTGGGTCATGGTAGAAAAACTAGCACCACTGAGAGGACTGAGAGGCTGCTGGATCCTTGGAAGAGCAAGATAAATCAGAACGTTTGGAGCGGAGGAGGAGAGGAAGTGGCTCTGCTGATAGGTGGGGAGATTCTGGGGTTAGCCAGGGTCTTGGCAGAGCACTCAGGATTCTGATGGACTCCCTGTTCATTAGGCTGGGTGGGGCATTTCATGGGGGCATGTCGGGTTGATGGTGAGCAGAGACTCCCTAGCGCTCACCCATGAGGTGTGCAGGAGCCCCACAGGAAGCCCCAGGTCTGTCCCTGGTGAGGTGGGAGGTGTGGGGACAGTGAGAGAAGATGGGGCTGGCACCTGTCCAAGGGCATAGAGAAGTCTAGGAAGGCAGCCACCAACTCAGAGGTGTGGTCCCGTGCCAGCAGGGTGATGGCTTGGAGGACATTCTTTTTGGCCTTGGGGACGTGGACAGAGCAGAGGTGGCGGTGGATGGCCCGGCCCATGTTGGCAACCTGCTCGAGGATGGAGAGGTAAGAGATGAAGGAGGACCTGCCCTGCTGTGGGGAAGCCTGAGTGGGGAGACACAGCCCTGCCTTGCCCTGGATTTTTGAATGGATTCCACCATCGTTGGAGGCATTTGAGAACATCATACTCTCTCAGAGTCTCAGGACAGTTCAGAGCTCCATTCCTCCTCATCTTTTCCCAAACCTGCTGCTCTGGTACTTGCTGCCTGTGTGCCTGGGGCACCTTGCCCTTCTACTTTTGGGTCTTTACTGTGCTTCCACTGAGACCTGGCTCCAGCACTGCTGTCTGAAGCTGCCTGTTGGCAGACCTGGTGTCTGCCATCCACTTGCTGGGGTGCTTCCCACCCACCACCTCTGCCTTTTGTCTACTGAGCCATCCTACCCACTTCTGTCCACTGGCTTCTTGAGGGTCTGGCCTGGGCCTCCTCCACCTCAGTTCTATACTAGGCCATAGGCTGGTGCCCAGTCTGTGCATTTTTGCCCCTTGCCTGCAATTCCCACAAGGCCCCCAGAATTCCTGGGCCGTTCATTCAGTCTATTGGTTCTTGCTTAGGGCGGGATCTGAGTCTCCTCTACCTGGCCCAAGTGCAAGGGTTCAGTCTCAGCCCAGATGATGCCCCTGACTTCTGCCAGACCTCTACCCTACCCTTCCCGCACTAGCTGGACACCCCAAACCTTTGTGGTCTCCAGCTTGGCCCCATGCTCCCAAATGACAGCGAGGAGCAGCTCAGCAGCTGCCTGCATGTGGAAGGCACTGGTGGAGCCCAGGCCTTCAATGACCGTCCAGACGAGGTCGGTCAGCTCTGTTGCTGTGAGGTACTTCATGATCTCCTGTGGGAGCAGAGAGACTGTCACCTTGGACTCATGTGCCCATGACCCCTCTCCTCTACTGCCTTCACTCAGGCTCCCCAAGTTTCCAAGCATCGACTCTCCAGGACTCCCCACATGGGCTCAGCATTTGCAGCTTATGGCCAACCACATCCATGGCAGGCAGGGAGGGCATGATGCCCAGTAATGGTGGGCACAGGGCTCTTCTCCTCTCCCAGCCTTGTGCTTGTTCTGGGGCCCCAGCAGCTGCCCAGCTCTCCCCACACTCTGCCTATCTCTGCCTTCTCGGGCACTGTCATTTGCTAGTCTCTGCCTAGAGGGATGTTCAGTGCTCCCCACAGCCAGGTTCTGGTCCTCATTACCAGTGTTTTAATCAAAGAGAAACTGAACCTCAGAACTGCAAAGGATCATTGAGGTTACCTGGACCGAACCCCTGCCTAGAGAGGTGCATGATGAGCTTCAGCTATGGAGCAGGGTAAGGGGCAGAGGTGGGGTCAGTCTAGTGTGGAAGTGAGGGCTTCGTTTGTGTGGCCTCCAGAGGACCCCCACTGTGCTGCTGCTCACATTCTCCTGGGGTCACTCTAAAGGACCAGGGAGGTGGCTCTCTGTAGGCTGAGCACAGGCTGCTTGGGAGATAAAGGGGCTATGGGAAAAATCCAAGGTGGTGGGTTTGAACCCTGCTCCTGAGGGTAGGGTGGCTTGGTTCCTGCACAGGCAGGACCTTCTGAGAAGACCTGGAGCTCTACTGCTCAACATGGTAGCCCCCATTAAATTAAATTAAATTAATTAATTTAAATTAATTCAGCGAAATAGAAATTTCAATTCCTAAGCAGCACAGGTTACATCTCAAACATGGTAGCCAGGTGCCAGCGGCTGCCTTGGATGCACAGATATAGAACATATTCACCTCTCAGAAGGTTTGAGTTGGAATGTTCAAGGTGACCAGACCCTCTGAATCCCAAAGTATATAACTGCAGGCCTGGCAGAGTCATTTGAGGTATCATGCATTAACCAGGGGCATAAATAAATGCGAGATGGAGGAAATAGGGAAGGCAGAGGTGGAGGTGGCAATGAGGATGGAGTGGGAGCCACAGTAATGGTATGATGACGTTGGTGGTGGTGGAGGTGGAGGTGGTGATGGTGACAATAGTGATGGTGGTGGTGGTGGTGGTGGTGACAGAGATGGTGATGATACTGTTGGTGGTGATGATGGGGATGATGATATTGAGGGTGATTGGTGCTGCATACTGATAACAGTGGTGATGATGATAGTGATGCTGATGAAGGTATTCAAGAACACATGGAGAGTCAGGGATAAAGTCAGAATTAGAATTTGGGGAGAGTTTCTTTCTCCAGCTAAACCTCCCCAGATGTGCCATCCCACAAATAGCGAAACCTCCCATCCTTGCCCCTTTCCTTGTTCCTAGCCTTCACTGCCCCTTGTCTAAGGAGAGCCAGAGCCAGGTGCCTACACTCTGTGTGCAGGGACTGCGCAGGGTGGAGGAGGCTGCCCCTTCCCAGGTCCTGATGCTATGCTCCTAGCGGCTCAACTACCTTCGCTGTTGGCCCCCACTGAGCTGACAGCCAGTGGGACCCTCCCTTTTCCCCCAGCACAGGTTGTCCTCTGTAAAATGCAGCTGAGCCAGGTTTCTCTCTTCTGGACATGGAAAATAGATGTGTTGGCCCCAGGGTTTTATATTTTCTGGGCTAAAGTTCAGATGGGTCTCAGAACATGGACAGTTTACTTTGGCTGTGAGAGCACAGGTTCTGGAGTTCACTGTGACTGGACCAAGTCCTGCTGGGGCACTTATTACTAGCTGTTCATCATCTGGTTCAGTCTGGTTGGACTTTATGGCTGTGTGTTGAAGCCCAGCTCCTCCCTTAGGCCTCACACTAAGCCCTCGGGAGCCCCCACTTGTGGTCTGGAGGTCTCAGGACTAATAGGGACAGATAAGCATGCCAGTCACATGGTCTTTGCTAGCGAGGGTTCAACCCCAACATGGGCAAGCAAAAGTCACCACCTCACAGACTTCATGAACTGACAACTCTGAGGACCCATGAACCTGGCTCTGCCCAGTCAATGCCAGCACCCAGTTTCCACCTGCATCTCAGTTTGTAGGTCTTTTGAGGATAAACATATTCAAATTGCTACACAGGAAATTTTGAGCCATGCAGGACAGGTTTATAAAATTTGAGAAAGGGATCTGTTAATGCTTGTGATGCCCCAACATATGGTAGGTGTCTAATGTGTGCTGGCTTCCTCCAACCCTCCCTGCACTTGCTCTGCTTCAGCAATATAGTAAGGAACAAGTGAATTTATTCCCACATCTGAAAGTATCTCCAGGTCTACTCCAGCCATGTCCCCACCTGGACCTGCCCTGACTCTAAGAGCTTTGACCTTGATGGCTCTGGAGCTGTCCTGATGGAATATAGTGTCCTCTGGGGACATCACCTTCTGAGGCAATGAGGATGCGGTCCTTTGGTCTCCAGTGCTCCATGGGGAGGCTTCATTTGCACCAGGCTGGGAGAGCTCCTTGGGGATGTGTGATTCTTCCTGCAGAGCTGCTTCTGCTGGCCAGAGGCAGAACAGGGGTGAGGCAGGGCAAAGGTGGACCAGGGTCTATGTGGGGAAAGGGTAGGAGTTAGGGTGAGGTCATTTAAAGTCAGGGCCAGGCCTGTGTCCCAGTTTGGGGATGGGAGTCCGTGGGGGCAGGACTAGGGGTTGGGCAAGGCCATTGCAGTTTTGGACGAGGTTAGGGCTCCTTTGGGGGTAGATTTGAGGTGAGAGTACTCCTGAGGCAGTGCCATGGTGTACTGTGAAAGCTCACCTTTCTGGTGCATCAGGAACTGGTAGAGCTGGCCTACCCCTTCCAGGCTGAAGTGCTGGGTCACACTGTCTGGGTCCTTGCACAGAATTCCCAGCATGCCTATCAGTTGGCCCATCGGTCTGAAGTCTTCCTTTGGCTGTGTAAAGAGTGTAGGACCACTGATGGCAGGACCCACCCGTGGGGTCCCTCCCCAGCCACACACACATATCCCAGCACAGCCTATGTCAGAAGGGATCTTCTCAAATTATGTGACGGAGTGGGGACTAGGGAGTGGACAAAACATAAAGGCTTGCCAAAGAACTTGGTAATCAAGCCAAATAATGTTAATGCAATGTTAATAAATATGAATGCAAAAAGTAATTCCCCTCCATGATAAAGGTTCAAGATCTGTAGATAAAATCCAACGTTGTACCTGCTGCCCTAGTTCCAATAAAACCTTATTTAACAAAAACAGGAAGCTAGCCTATTGGCCATAGTCACATTAATCACATAAAAATATGATTAATTATGGAGTTTTTTTTGGTGCCCCTGTAAATTTTGCACCCAAGGAGATTATCTCTCCCTTGCTTTACCCTGGTCCTGGTCCTGTGGTGTAGACATGAATTGTGAGTAAATTGAAGCCACTTTGATCCATTCTAGAAGGCCTTCTTCCTCTGGGGCAGATGACTTTCCTGGGCAGAACAATCCCTCCCACTCCAGGACCTGCACCTCTTACTTTCCTTAGCCCAGGCAGTCTCAGATATCAGGTGAGGCACCGATGCCCACCTTCCCCCAAGAGTTAGTACTGATTTTGGTTGATAATGCAGAAGCACTCACTTTCAGAAAAACCATCTCAAGTTCATCACTCCCAAGGCCTGATGGAAGTGATTCCCATTTGCCCCTCTAAAGAGAAATTATCATCATTCATTTTATAGGTGAGTCGCTGAGGCCGGGGGATGGGAAGAACCTGCTCCAGGGCTCAAGTGCATGGAACAGCCCTCTCCAGAGTCAGGGCCAGGGCCATCTGGGTTCAGAGCCTGGCTGCAAGGCCTACTTCCTCAAGTGTAAAAGGAGACAACACCTGGCCTGCTTCACCACCACGGAGCCTGGGTGGGACAGGAGGCCCAGCTCCAAAGGCGTCTGGGCGGGGTACTCACATCCAGGAAACATCGGTGGTTCAAGAACCTGAGCAGGATCATGCAGCTGTGTGCAGCGCGCTGCCGCTCGTGCACCTTCTCGGACGCCAGCCAGGGATACAGGTGCTGCGGGTAAGTGGGGTCCAGAGAAGGCTGGACCAGGTGGATAGCCAGCCCCACCTACCCTCGGCCAGGCCCTGCCCACCCCCGCAGAGCTCCTGGGTCCCAACAGTGTCCCTGTGAACAGCATTCTCTGTTTCTTTCCCGGACTGTGCATAGCCTCCCCACACCCTCTGTCCCCAGGAGCACCTGTAGGAGTAGTCATTTCTTCCTGCTCAGGGCCCTGCAGGGCTCCTGGCTCCTAGTCTGCTGTGCACCTGCTCTAGAACCATGCTTGCTCACACATGTGTGCACACACAGGCCTCTTGTACAGCCGTGCTGTGTAGCCTGAGGCTATGCTTAAGCCTCTCTGTTAAAGGCCCCATGGTTAGAGATGGTGACTTGAAGAGGATGAGGACACAAAGTATTTGGAGATTGACCCAGTGATCGCTTAGTAGCTGCTGGAACTTCCACTGGTGGCAGCCACTGACACTTGGCACATTTAGGGGGTGACATGCCTAGTTCCCCAGGCAGGGCTACTCACAGTGGCTCTTAGCTTCCAGCTATGCATCCAGCCTGGGGGTCCCTGCTTCCCCTCCTGTCCCCGCTTCTACTTCCTCTTTCTTCCCCTCCTGTCCCCGCTTCTACTTCCTCTTTCTTCCTCTCCATGTCTCTCCCTCCCTCTCCCCCTTTCTTCCCTGCCTCCTCCTCTTGTTTTCTATCTCCTCCTTCTCCTTCTCCCTCTTTCCCCCTTCCCCTTCTTTTGTACTGTAGCCTGAACCCAGGGCCTCATGTGTGCTAGGCAACTAACACTGAACTGCCCCTCTAACTCCTTTGACATTTTTATTTTGGGACAGGGTCTCACTAAGCAACCCAGAGTGGCCTTCAAATTGCAGTCCTCCTGCCTCAGCCTCTAGAGTAGCTGGGATTATAGGTGTGCACCACCCTACCTGGCTTCTGCCTGGCTTCTTGGTGAGTCAGCAAGCCTCATTCTAACCACCTCCTCCTACTTGGCCACAGGGAGCTCCCTCCACCATGGCCAAATGAGTGCATTTATTTTTGTCCCTGTCATGCTGTCTTCCTGTGGGGCTCTGCCCTGCCCAGGGACTGCTTAGGTCCTCATCCAGGACTCCTTGGTAAAGTGCCGCTGGCCTTGGTCTCTGATTCCATGGACAGAGCCAGCGTTTCCTCTGGGGTAGGACTCTGGGTCACCACTGCCTGTTGACTGGCCTCCCTTCTGTCAGGTCAGGAATCCTAGAGGGTGGCAGCCTCAGGCTGTGAGTCCCTGAGGACACTGCTGCCGGGGGAAGTTCTCTTTGGAGGATGTGTCTTCACCAGACCTCTTCCAGCCAGGCTGCCACTCTCTTGACCTCCAGTTGTCCCAAACCTGGGCAGGCCCTGCATCCTCTGGGATGCCTCCTTTGGGCTTTCTGGCCAGGGCTGAGGATCCCTTATCTCCAGTCCCAGGTACCCCACCAGCCCTCACCATCAGCAGGAATTTCATTTCGCTGGCTGTGGGGCTCTGCATGATGAAGCTCTGTAGCATGTGGTCCAGCGCCTCCAGTGTCTGGCTGTACAGGGTCTGTGGGGGTGGGGGTGGAGGTCAGCCCAGCCTGGGGGCGAGGGTATATGGGGCCACAGCATTTGGGTGATGCTTTCTCCCTGCATATCCCAAGTCAGGCTCCTGCCATGGGAGTTCCAACTGGCTCAGGAGGAGCTCTCCTGCAGTCCCCATTCTGCAGAGTGGGAGATGGGCCAGGAAGGCTGTCCAGGGCCACCCAGGGGCACAGCTTTTGGGTGGCCAGGAGAACTCATTCCCAGAAGGCTGGCCTCCTTGGTGGGTGACCTGTGCTGGTTGCGATGCTCCTCTGCTGCTCTCTTAAAGTTTTAAACAGGCCCTGGCTTTCACTTTGCACTGGGCCCAGAAAATTACGTGGCTAGCTCTGGTTTTTGGGACTCACAGCAGATTCTAAATCACTTAACTGCTTTGCTTGCTGGGCATGTTCATAGAGGAAAGGCCCCCAGAAATTCTCCCCACTATCAGGGGCACCAGGAGCCAATGGGCCTCTGGATACTAGCTGGATGGGACCCTGGGGCCCCACAATAACTTCCCGAGAGCCAGGTTGCCCTCTGGAGATGGCAGGAAGCCAGCTTCATGTGCCAGATGGGATAGAATTGAATAGAAGCCCAGCCCTGCACCACCAGCTCCAGTGCCAACCCCCAGTGCTACCTACAGGATTATGGAATCTGTGGGGTCATGGGCTCTCTGGATGCACATGGGGTTGAGGTTGGGGCAGATGCCTCCTTTCTGGAGGGCTGTGGCTGTGGTGTGCCCTGGGCCCAGGGGATTCTTGGTCTGTTACCATCCTATCCAAAGGGCTTGCTGTGGGTTCTAGTCTGGACCCAGCCTTGGGAATGGAGCAGTGTGCTGGCGGGCTAAGGTAGGATTCAAATCCTGATTCTCCCACCAGCCAGCCTCATTCCTCTGAATGGGTTTCCTTATCCTCTGGTCACTGTCAGGAAATGTCCACAGAGACACTTGTTAGCCACCTGCATGCCTGTTTGCAGAATGCCCTGCACTGGGTATGCACGCCCAGACTCTCATTTCAGCCTCCTGGCTCAGTTCCATGGCTCTATTACCCTACCCACTTCTTAGAGGGTAAATGGAGGCCCAGCATAGTTTGGAAACTACTCAGGACCCCAACCCTGCCTGTGGGGTGGCCAGGGAGCCTCCCTACAGACTGCCCCCTCCCAGGCGTTAGCAGAAGGTAGAACCCAATGCCTTGCCCACCTGTATATTGGGTGGCTCCAGAAAGAGGCAGGTGTGCCTCTCCAGGGTGTCCATCAGGGGCAAGGCAAACACACTGCGAAAGCAGGTAGACAGGAGTCGTGACTTCCTGTCTTTGTCTATAGGTGGCCTCAGTTCACTGTTGGGAAGACAGAGGGCAGGAGCATGAGGGTGGGAAATGGAAGGGGCTGTCAGCGAGCCCCATGGAGCTGGGATTTAGGGGATCCCCTGACATCTGCTTCCAACATGATGACCTTAGAACTTTCTGTTTCCCACAGAGACCTGTGCACACATCTGCCTCACTGATCCTCTTGCTGGTTCTCTGGCATCTGAGGAGTGTGCCACCCACAGAACCTTTGCATGTGCTATCTCTTTAGCTAAGTATATATGCAGAGCTTTCTTTCTTGCCCTTCCTGGACTTTGCTGTAAAGTCCTCTTTCAGGGCAGGCTACCTCAGCCTCCAGCTATGTCTTGCAGCCTCGTAGGGCATGGGGCTCATGGGAGTATTCAATCAATACTCGGTCAATAGCCCATCAGTTCCACTGACCCATGCTTGGTCTCATGTGGCCCTCAGTCCCGGAGGGATTTGCATCCTGACTTCCTCCCCATTGCAGGTTCCTCCAACGTCTTCATCAGCCCTGATATGTGTGGTCTGAAAAATGTCCTTTTACCTATAAGTCAGCTATGGGGGAACAGGGCTATTCCCTGCTGGTTCACTGCTGGGTCCTAAAGCCCAGGAGGCCTGGTACACAGTAAGTGCTAAGTAGCTGTGTGTGCAGTGGGTAAATTAGGAGATGAAGCTGGGAGAGGTTAAGCTTTGAGTGGAGGTGGGTTTGACCCAGTCTTGGGGTGGATGCCCACCCCACTCTACCAGTTATCCTGCCTATCCTCTCTGCAGCCAAGCTGAGGCAACTCTGAACACACTGGGCCTCCATTTCCTAGGCAGTCTCTCCTGGTCCTCCCTTACCAGCTGTAGGTTGAGAGCTGATTTGGGGACTGCTTCTTGGCCCTAGGGTCCCCGAGCCCCTGGACTCTAACATGCCTCCCTTTCCCTGGGGTTGGATGGGGTCTAGAGTGAGTTTCCCTTTGTGGACACCCCTCCTCACCCCCAGATCCTGCTGTGCTGGGGTCCTACCAGAGCTTGGAGGCGATGTGGATGACCTGCTGGCGGCTGGTGGTGCACAATGCGCCTGGGGGCTCCTTCTCCATTAGAACCTGCAAATCCCCCATGAAGGCTGAGCCACTTGGGCCTGGCCCATCCCACTCTGATGCTGGGTCTCATCTTCACCTCAGTGCCTGGAAACCCTGGGACCCACAGGCCCCTCTATGATCTGGACCCTGCTTAGAGACCCAGAGTACAGCCTCTGCACTTAGACACAGCAGACCTGAGTCCTCATCCTGCCTGCCAGTTGCATGACCTGGGAAAATCTCCAGATTGCTCTGAACTCATCCATGCACAAGAAGCACAGCCTTACATGTGTGTTCCACATGGAGTGAGGTATGGAAGCTCGGGTTTGGAGCTCCAGTGAGGAGGGGACAGGCTATCCTGTTAGTGCTCCCATCGCTACTGCCCAGCCACTCCCATGTAACTTTACTGCTTGGAGGTTTCCTAAAGCCTAAATTCCTAACCTGGTCTCGGGCTCAGGTCAACATGTGCAGGACAGACAGTGCTGGACTTTCTGGGCCTCTGTGGCATTGCCTATGAGGATGGATTGGTATGCTAGGGGCCCCTTAAGCACCTAGTGGCCAGGGACACAGAATGCTTTGAGGTGCAAGGGCTTGTGAGGGGGTAGACATACCCTGGAACCCTCCCCACACCTTCTGCAGTGGGTGGCTCCCAGAGAGATGCAAGTCTGAGGGAGGAGGCCCTTCTTGCCCAGGAAGGTGCTGGTATGAGGGAGGGGCCAGGCACCCACCATCAGACACTCGAGGAGCTGGGAGGTCTGGGAGAACTCATAGCTGTGGGCGCCCTCGCTTCTGCTGATAGCCCCCACCAGCATCAGGATAGCTGAGAGGAAGCTCTGCTTGAGGGTCTCATCCTGAACAGGGGACAAAGGGGATAGGACAGGCTGAGAAGCCAGGAATGCATAGGAGAGGGCAAGAAGCCATGCAGAAATGATGAGGCTACAGGCTGCAGGGTAGTGGCTGAAAAGCACAGTAGAGACTGCTAGCTCCATTCCTTATCAATGAAATATTTTTAAAAATGAGAATGAGGTGACAATGTTCAAATACCCAGGAGAGGCGTGTGAAAGCCTTAGTGAGGCAGCCACTAGGTTGCAGTTGCTGTCTGCCCCTCACTGCTCCCCAAGTTGGAGGCACAGGTGCAATCACACAGATGTCACTCTGGCCTTTCAGTGTCTAGATCCACCCCAAAAGTGAACATCTGGGGTTTGGTTTATGTGGTGAGGATAAGTCCCCATGAAAGCCTGAACATGTTTGGAGGAACCTGGAGGAGGAAGAGCTGTGAATCAAACAGGAATCTGGGCCTGGCTCTCTGGGCTTCTAGGACAGATCAGGATGTGGGTTGCCTGTCCTGGAGTCTGGATCTCTCTGTCTCTGCCATTCTCTGTGGGTGGTGGTCATGGTGGCCTGGAGTCCTGACTATCCTGAGGAGTGTCGGTTTTGGGATGGTGGCCTGTCATACCCATGAGCTGTAGCGGAAGTAGAAGATCATCCTAGACAAGATGTTGTCCACCCATGGAAGGATGTGGGTCTTGGCCCTGGCAGCCATCTGACCGTAGGCTAGTAGGATGGTGCTGCTAGCCCATTTCCATTGCAGGTCCTCGAAGCTCTGGCTCTGGGGAGTGGGCAGATAGAGTATGTCAGGTCCTGCTGGAGCCCTCCTCTGGGGGAGTGGGAAAGGAGGTGCCCTAGGCCCTACCAGGGTGTTGGAGATAGGGCATTACAGGGGAGCCTCAGTTTATAGCAGAAGAACAGGAGATAGCATTGGCTCTTTGCAGGGTTGGGATGCCCCTTGAAGAGCCACGTGGGGCTGTGTACAGGGGCTTGGCTCTGCTGGGACTGGCAGAGTCCAGGTCCACTGTTGTGACAGTCCCTGCCAAGAGCCTGCTGGATGGGGCAGCATCTGGTGCACTGCACCCCATCAGGTTGCTAGGGCCCTGGGAGCCTTTGCCTCTATCCAGAGATAGCAATAGGGCACGTGGTGCTTCCCCAATGGGTAAGACTCAGGGAATATGGAACTGATGTGGCCTTAAGGACCATCATGGCACCGCTCCCTCAGTGAAGACACTCCCTAAAGGCCTTGGAAGTAGGCTTGGTCTAGCTGCAGACCTTAGGAGTCGTTGGCTCTCACTGGGCTGCAGGTTAGTGGAGCAGTCTGAAAGGGCAGACCCATATCCTGCAGAGTCACATAGGGTACAGAAAGCAAGAATCAGGGTGCTCTCTGGCCTGTCTCATGTTCAGATGTGCCATGTGCCCCAAAGCCAGACTATAATCCGACACTGAACATCACAACACAACTGGCTTGTCACATGCTAAGCTTTCTAAGGCTATGGCCCATTTCTGTCCCCAACAGGCCAGGAAGAGGGAATCCTGCTCAGAAGAAGGAAACTAAAGCATGGAGGCTCACACTGCAGATGGAGGGAAGGTGGTACTGGAACTGGGATCTGTGCCCCATGCTCTTAACCCCAAACCTGGGGTCCCAGCCTGGTGGCTCTGGTACCTTTGGGGTGGGGCTTTGGAGAGTCCACTTGACGGGCCGGCTCCGGCCAAACTGATCCAGTATGGCCCAGACATCATCCAAGTGTTGGGTTGCAGCCAGCCCCACAGTGAGCGCAATTCCCTGTTGGAGATGGCCCAGTGCCACTGAGAGGGGACCCTGAGACCACAGGACTGGACTTGGCCCCTCAGTTTGACCATCAGAAGGGGTAGAGGCCTCATCCAAGATCACAGGGCATCCACCTCCCACCTGCAAGCTCTTTAGGACATGCAACACTGTGCCTAGCCCAACGGACTGTCTCATATGGGGTCTGGTGGGTAGAATGAGGGGAGGCAGGAGGCAGAGTGGGAGTGCTGGAGGCTGGCTGTCCTTGTGCAAGCTCTGAGCCGACCTGCACCAGGGTAGGATTGAAGGGATGTATGGGAATGGAGAAAAAGGACCCAGGTTGTGGGTGAGATCAGGACTGGGTCAAGGCTTAGGCTGTGACCAGCCTGTGACACCTAAGCCTGTGGTCAGGGCCAGGAAGTTGTGGGAACCAAGTAGAACTGAGTCCTCACCTCCCTCTGTTTGGGCCATTGGTGGGATGTTTCCAGGAGGGCTTGCAGGTGTGTCCTGACCGTGGTGCTATTCTCTGCTGCTTGTAGGATCAGCCCATAGTAGGTGAACAGGAAAGCCTGGTAGTGAGATCAGTGCCCTGTCCTTAGCTGGACGCATGTGTCCTGGCCTACCACCTCCTCTGAGCAGCCTCCCTGACCATGCTCCCTCAGGTTCCCCGGGCCTGCAGTTACCCTCCCCACCCTGCCTGGTGGTACAGGCCCAGCCCCTGTTCCTGTCAGTCCCACTAACTTCTCTCTAGGGACCTGGGCATCCTGGGGGTAAAGCCCTAGGCCTGCGTGTTGAGCAGGGGCTACCTGGGGTGGCAGGACCCACCTTCTCTGGGGGATGCTCCTGCTGGGTCTGGCTGGGCTTGGTGAGGGCCTCCAGCAGCTCCTTGGACCACAGGTCCATGTCCAGGAACTTGACTGACTTGACAATTATCTGTTAGCAGATGAGGGTGGACAGGCCTGGAGCCATCTCTCCCTCCTCCCTCTGCCAGCCTGCTCCCAGACACCCCAGGCCCTGGTTCCATCAACCTCTTGTCTTCTCCTCTGGATCTCCAGGACCCAACTCTCTTATTTGTTTGATGGTCTTCAAGGCCAAGGAACACATTCCTCAAGGGGACCCCAATTGTGTGCAGGTGAGGAAGGAAAATCTGTGCCTGGGGGCCTACAGAATGGAGTCCTGGTGGTGTTCCCAGCATAGAACAGGGTCTCAGGTATGGCAGATTCTGTGTTAGCTGTACGTAGCCCCTCTGCGGGGTGCATGCTAGGAGGTGGGACTTGGTCTTTGTTCGCACTTATATCTCTAGCACCTGCATCACGCCCAGCACTTGGTGGATGCTGTGCATTAATGCTTCTTAATCAATGAAAAGAGATCAAATGAATGAATGAAACATCCTTTCAAAAAACATGATTCTGAGAGTTCTGATCCTAACATCACATGATTTTATAATGACTGCAAAGTCTCTGCCTTTCCAATCTTCCTAGATTCTGTGATTCAATAAGTGTCAGATTTTTGTTCCCAAGAGGGTGGAATGGGAGATTTCCTTCCTAAGTATAATCCATAAGCGCAAAATCTTAAAAGACTGAGAAATGTGATGATAAACATTTAAATAAGTTTGTTCAGCAAAACTAGTATAAAATAAAATTTGAAAGAAAGGGCAGTTTGTTTTTCCTGTCACCCATTGCCAAGGTGACTTTCCTTTCGCCACTGAATTGCTTTGGTACCTTTAAAAATCATTAGAATGTGTAAGTGTGGCTGTATCCTGGAGTTTGTATTCTGTTCCACTGATTTATTTGTTTAACCTCTCCTGTATGTTACAGTTTAGACAAAGAATGTCCCCCAAAGGTCTCGAGCACTCAGAGGAGGGGCTTCTGGATGGTGATTGAATCATGGGGGTGATATTGCTGACTTGCTGTTAGGGGTCTGGTTGGAAGAGGTCACTGGAGGTGTGAGCTCAGAGACTGGCTCCCCCTTCCCTGCTTCTCACTTTTCTTCCTGCTTCCTGACTGCCATAGTCTGAGCAGCTTTTCTCCCCCCGGCCCTTCAACCATGCCCTTCCTGCCTTGGAGCCACGGGACTATGGACTGAAATCATGGACCAAAATAAACCTCTTCTCCTTTGATTTCTGGGTGTTGGGTATTGCGTTTCAGCAATGAGGAAAGTAGAGTATACTGATGCCCCATCTTCCTGCTTACAGTTCCTTCTAGTTAAGTCTTTTACCGTGTTATTCTACTTAGCCTTTCACTAAGTCTTGAGATCAAAGTAGTGGGGTTCTTGTAACTTTGTTCCTTCTTAGGATATTTTGGCTATTCTAGGTCTTTTGAAATTTCACATAAAATTCAATCTATAGGTTAAATTCTACAATAAAGTCTTGTAGGATTTTGGTTGGTGCTATATTCAATTGGTAAGTCAATTTTGTGAGACCTGACATCTTAACATTTTTGAATTTTCTTATTTAGGAATGCCACATATCTCCGTTTATAAATTGCTCTTTTTTTTTGGTACCGGGGATTGAACTCAGGTCTTTGTGCTTGCAAGTCAGACCACCAAACCGCTGAGCTAAATCCCCGGCCCTATAAATTACTCTTTGCAATACTGTGGGAAGAGCTTGCATATCTTTTGTGACATTTATCTTTCCTTGAGACTTTTAGATCTTTTGTGATACTGAGTCATTTATTTTTTAAAATTTTTATTTCTTGGAAGTTAATAAAGTACTTTTATTCATAAGGAAAACTTTCCCCATTTTGTTATACACATAAAACCAGCTCTGTGTGAAGTCACTTAATGTGGGGGCGGAGACAAGGATCCTGGTTGAGACCAAAGAGCACCACCCCGACCTGGAGTCTGCTGGGAGATTCGGGGTCAGAGGTGACTCCCAGAGCAATAAAGAGATGAGGTCATCCACCCCAGCCTCAGCTGGGATGGCATGTTGGTTGGCCAGGGCCTGGGCTGGTGGCAAACATTTTATGATTATTATTATTTTTTGGTACTGGGGATCGAATTCGGGACCTTGCTCTTGCGAGGCAGGTGGTGGTGGAACCACTGAGCTAAATCCCCAGCTCATACTGAGTCATTTAAAAAAGGCTATTTTCCAACTGTTTGCAAATAGAAATTCAATTGATTTAAAAACAATTTATCTTGTGTCCTAAGATCTTGCTAAATTTGACTGGTAGTAATTATCCATTCTAGTATTTTAAAAACTGTAATATTTTCTTTGTGTGAAGTCATTCTGTCTGCAAAGACAGTTTCACCTTTTTCAGCTGTATCTTAATGCCTTTTCTTCTTTTTCTTCCCCTATTGAACTGGCTGTGGAAGGCTGACAGGAAGTAGAGAGAGCAGATGTCTCTGCTTTATTCCTGATCTTAGTGGGAAAACATTTAATCTTTCATCAGGAAGCATGTTAGCTGCAGGCTTAGCTGTGCTTGTCAGTTTGGGTCAGCTTTTTTCTACCTTAGCTTGTTAGAGAGATTTTTAACATAAGTAAGTTTTGAATTTTAAAAAATCTTAAATTTTTTTTTGTTGTTTCCAAGTTACCCAGGCTTGCTATGAACTTGTGATCCTCCTGCCTCAGCCTCCTGAGTAGTTGGGACTACAGATGTTTGCCACTGTTCCCAGCTAAGTATTATACATTTTATCAAATGCCTTTTCTTAATTGTTCTTATAAATATATTCATAATCTTCTACTTTATTATAGTAATGTGCTGAATCACATTTATTATTTTTCAAGGATTAAACTGAGCACATATCCTTTGATAACCTGTTTGATCATGATATATTATTATTTTTCTCAACTGCTAATATTCTGCTAAAGGTTTTTGAGTCTACATGAAAGCTGTAGATCTGTGGTTTTCTGGTAATGTCCTTGGTTTTGGCACAGGGCTGTGCTGGCTTTATTAAATGACTCAAAAAGTGTCCCTTTCTCCTGTTTTCTTGACAGATTTTTGCAGAGGTGGTGTTCTTTCTTCCTTAACTGTTTGATAGATTTCACCAGTGAAGTGTCTCAGCTGAGAGTTTTCTTGGTGGGAATGAAGCTGAGGAAAATCCTGCATAGATATGCCTCCTGCTCTTGGTTCCTGAGTAAACCCACTGGTTTTCACCTGCTTGTAATCATACCTTGACTACAGATGACACCTGCGACATGGGGGAGGGTCCCTGTGCAATGGTTGGTGAAGTCAGATCCATCACTTTTCCCCAGACTCAGCCCATACACATCTCCAGCCCTGTCCCTGGGGAGGGAGAGTCAGACTTAGTCTCCATCTGCATACATGGCTGCCTGGTAAGTAGACTCTTTCTCCTTCAAAACTCATCATTTCAGTGTTCATCACACTGCATGGTAGAAAAGGTTCGGTAGCAGAAAGTTTTTAATCACTATTCCAATTTCTTTTGTAGATACAGGACTATTCAGATTTTCTGTTTTTTCTCCTGTCAGTTTGGTAATTTGTGCTTTTCAAGGAATTTGTCTATTCCTTCTAATTTGTCCAATTTATTGAAATCAACTTTCATTATTATCCTTTACTGCCAACAGGATTTCCTTTATTCCTTTCTGAAATTGGTATTTTGTGTTTTTTTTTTCTTTTGATCAGTCTAGTGAGAGATTTAGCAACTTATTGATCTTTTGATTAATTTATTTTTGGTTTGATTCATTTTTTATTATCTGTCTTCTTTTTTTTAGTTCTTTGATTTCTGATCTAGTTCTTGCTAGTTCCTTCTTTCTACTTACTTTGGGTTAAATTTTCTCTCTTTAGGTAGCTTTTTAAAATGAAATTTTAAATCGTCATTTTTTTACTTTTCTCCTTCTCTCCAATGGGACTTAATATGCATTTTATTCTAAGCATTGCTTTCTGTTGTAACTCCCAAATGCTGATTTGTTGTATTTTTCACTACATTCAATTTGGAGTATTTCCTAATTTTCCTTGTAATTTCTTCTTTGACCCATGGATTATTTAGCAGTGTGCTGTTTAATTTCTCAGAATTTGGAGATTTTCCAGATAGATTTTAATGTTGACCTCTAACTTACATTTTTGTCAGAGAATGTACTCTGATTTCAGTCCTTTAACATTTATTGGAACTTGAAGGCTGATCATGTAGTCTGGTCTGGCATGTCTTATTTGCACGGAAAGGAATGTCAATAAGATCAATTTGATTAATTGTGCTACTCTGGGCTTCTGCTCTTTTTAGTCTCTTGTCCTCAGTTCCTGCTATTGCACTGTTCCACACTGAAGATGATGTGACTTCCCCTCCCTGAGGAATTCCTGTGTCTCTCTGTGCAGACCCTTTTTGGGGATTAGTGCCTACTGTCTTCATGGCCATTTGAGCAAGGGACTTTTATCCCATTTGACAGATGAGGAAACAAAGGTACAGGGAAGCAAAGGTCACCCCAGGCACATGCTATGGTTGGCTGACCCCGAGTGTGAACCCAGGTCTGCCAGGAACCTGTGACCCTTCTCCCAGCCCAACAGTCCCTCATCCCTATGTGTGTCAGAGATGGGACCCTGCTTCTTGGCTGTGGAATCCTCAGTCCACCTGACCTGCTTCCTTCTGCCTCTGGCTTCATCTCTGGCCCTGAGTCTCTCTATCCCTCCCAAGATGGGTGGGAGTGGTGGCGAATGTTGGACACTTGCTCGGTGTCAAGCATCTAGAGAACAAGGCCTGAATTCCAACTCCTCCTGTGACCAGGTCACCTCTTCTCCTTGGTGCTCTGGCTCATTTGGAAAATGAGGGTCCTCCCTGCCACCCTACTCCCTTCTTTCCCTCCCTCTTTTCCCTTTCTTTCCTCCACCTCCAGGATGCAGCAGGTGCCCCCAGGTTGGCTGCTGCCACTCCCGCTGGTGTGCCTACCTGGGCCAGCAGTTCCTCCCAGTGCACCCTGTCTTCCTGGTTGAGAAGCTCCTCTGCAAGAAGAGGACTGGCTATAGGGTCTGCTCTGATGCCCACAGCCAGGGTTGGACCCCACATCTCAGACACTGGCTGAGTCAGTGTGACATTGTCCTCCCTCATCCTGGCCTGGTTAGCGGGAAAACACAGGCTGGGATTGGGCTAAGGACCCAGACAGCTGGGCTGGAATGATGGCCTCACCCCCTTGCTGTGTGACCTCAGGAAAGCTGTTCCTTCTCTATGCCTTGGGCCCCTCCCAGGCAAGTATGAAGAGGGGGAGTACAGCAGGGGTGCTCTGAGAGTCCAGAACACCTTCAGGAATTTGGGAATCCCACCTTAGAGGGAGGGGATGCTTTTGGGGCTCCTTGGGTACAGAGGACACTACACCCAATTTGTCAATACTGGGGCAGAGGCACAAGACCAAGCCAAGCCAGGTCCTGCCAGTCTCAGGCCTTAGAGTGAAGACCTTCCCTGCTTCCTCCTGTTGACCCTGCTGGCTGCCAACCCACTCTTTAGAGGACTTTGCCAAGCAACCCCCCACCCCCATTGCTCCAGACTGGCTCATCCTGGAAGCCCTCTCCGATGGTCTCTAGGGCAGTTGATCACTGTCCTCCCTGGGCTCTGTTCTGGTTACTGAGAGCAGGTGCATTAGCCAGGCTGATGGGAGCACAGTGGCTGGTGTTACCCTCTAGTGAGGGCTGCCTGGCTAATTACACTCAGTGATATCACTGCTGTGCGCAGTGTGTCGGGGGGATTCTGTGGGCCTGGGACCACACCTAGATCTTCCCTTGACCTCCCCCTGTCTTGTGGGCAGGACCTACCATGGGAGGACAGAATGCCCATCACATAGAAGAGGCTGCGGTGTGGGAAGGTGCCAGTCAGGAGCTCCGTCTCCAGGTGCTGGGCTACTGTCTGCCAAGAGTGCCTGCAGATGGCCACCAGCACATTGCTGGCTGCATCCTGGTATGTGTCTTCCAGCTCCTGGGTGGGGAAAGGTGTCCAGAAATCAGAGCAGGCTTTTTCAGTTCTGAGTGTCTGCACAGATGTGTGTCTGCTTTGTCAGGCCAGGGAGCTGTGATCAACCCATTTATTTAGAGGGGAAACAGAGGCTGAGGGACCCTTGTGTTCATGGCTCTCCACATTCCTGCTTCTCCAGCAGTTTTAGGACATTCTAAAACTGACTGGCCTGTGTCCTCTCAGGGAACATTCCCAATTATTGCTTTCCATACCTTAGTCTTAGAGGCACAGTCCCTTGTGGTTCTTTTCTGCATTGAAGCCTTTGGCATGCTGTGCCCCTGCCTGGGGCTCCTTTCCTGCTCATCTGCCTATCCAGATCTCAGTCCATTTCTAAGGCCCACTGTCTCCTGTCCTCAAGACACCTGTCTGAAAACCCCTTTCTGACATTGCCTCTCCCCTTCCTGCTTCCTGGCCGCTCAGGACAACATCTCATCCTTTCATTTTTTGTCACCATGCATTTAGGACCAGAGGCTGTTCTTGCCCTGGGTCTCTGCCTGGGGAGTCAGCATGCCAGCTGCTATAGCCTTCTTCCCTAGGCCTTGCTAGGGAAGGTGCTATCTCCCAAGGGTCATCCTCTGGCAGGAAGGAGCCACCTGTGCCTGGGGCTGGCCCTATGCCATTATGCCCTGTCCTTTCTCAGCAAGTGCACTGCTATTTCTCTGTGGCTCCAATTAGAGTACTGCTCCTTTCCATCCTGTAGTGGCTGTTGGCACAGAGAGGCACAGCAGTGCTGTCTGCATTTAGTGACATCAGAATGTTAAGGCATCTAAGGTCCTACCACCTTACTCTCCCTACGATGTGCTTTAAGTCATTATATTAAATTGATATGCCACACTTTATTGAAAGTATAGCTATAAGGGCTTCTTAAGAAGGAGAGGGGTTTTCACATTGTTTTGGACTCTGAACTGGCCATTTGACCTGTTGTTCTGAACAACCTCTCCTCAGTCTGATGTACACTGAGCAGATGAAATATCAACATTGTTTAATCTTGGCTGGTGTGCAAATAGTCTGTCACAATTATAATTCCCCAACCATGGACCCTAACTGGTCTATGTCCTCTCAATGGCCCAGGGGTCATTCCCACTTATTACTTCCTATAGCTGCAGTCCTAGAGGCACAGTCCCTTGTGGTTCCTCTGTCTGTCCCCATCATACAAGCTCCTCATGGTTCTACATGGCACCTTGTGTTGCTCATTTCTGGGTGGGGGGTAGTACTAAAAACCTTTTTCCATGGCATTAGCTTTCTGTGTTTTTATATAACACATGCTTGTTTGGTGCCAAAGCTTGGGTTATGGTGGGCCAAGTTAACTGTCTCTGCTGTCTTGTTATCCAGTGTGTCCTCAGTAGGCCACCGTGGGGCTACCAGGGCTAGAGGGTCTGAATGAGACCTCCTGTCCCCACTCCTCCAGGAGCAGTCCCAGAGATTGCCAACCAGCCTGTGGACAGTTAGCAACCTGACTACAGGTCTGGCTGGGAGTAGGGATCCGGGGATGGGGGGCATTTTGTGGCCAAGCTGGGGGACCTAAGGCTGGATTATGGCCTGGAGGAATGGCTTAGACTGGCAGGTAGCTTTCCAGAGCTGGCTTGTAGGTAGCAGCTAAGGGATGGTAAGGACAGTGTGGGTAGAGGCATGTGGGCCTTAGGGGGCCTGTGGCCTTAGACCAGTACTTCCTCTTGGGTTTCAGCTGCCTCTTCTGGGGAGTGCATGAAACTGTCCCTTTGAAGGAGCTGGTGGCCAGGATGTTAGGAAGAAAGAATTCCTGCCACACCACAAGGCCTGGCACACTCTCACCATTTGGAGTCCTGGGCAGCTGCCTGCAAACCCAAGGGCTTGGGGACTGGCTATCTTGTGGGGGTGGGGTGGGGGCCCACCGTGGATTTGGTCATATTATCCAGGGCCAGTTGTATGAAGCTTCTCCTCCAGGGATCCTCCAGGCAGTCACTGGCTTTGATGACATTCTCTAGGACCTGGAAGAGCCGGAACTTGTGCCGGCTGGAGATCTGTGGGTGGCAGAAAGGACACTGGGATGTTTCATTCTGACCAAGTGGCACATGTCTGTGGGAGCATGGAGGGGAGGCTGTGTGAGGAGGCCAGAGGGAAAGATTGCAGGCAGCTGCTTTTAACCATTCAGTCAACAACCCTTAGTAGATACTGCCCCGTGTAGTGCTAAAGAGGCCTAAACCAGTGCTGCAGAGATCATGAAGGACAAAAATTTCTCCCTATCCTCATGGAGCAGTTATAGCAGTTTAAAAAATTCCGTCTTCAAAGACAGATCATTCATTCATTCATTCATTCATTTTCAATACTTAGGCAGATGTTCTCCCCCACCATATCTATCTCTCCATCCATCCATCCACGGATGCCACTTACTGGTTCTTTGACATTAGGCAAATCATTTTCCTTCCTAAGCCTTAGCTTCCTTATCTATGAGCATCATGATATCTACCTCTTGAGCCTGTTGAGTGGGGTCAATACATATCATTCTGCTTTCCTCCCTCCCTCTCTGGCCCATTTGGAATATGAGGAAATTGAGACTTGCTCCAAATCATCCAGCTGCTCTATATATGATACAGGATTTGAGCCCAGCTTGGGTCAAGCCCTCCCTTCTGCTCCCCAAATGCCCAATCAGTTCCCACCTGTGGGTTATCTGTGAAGTAGTCACGGATGGTTTCCATCACCAAGCTGGGGGACCTCTGAGCCATATTCCTGACCCTCTTGATGACAAACTGCAGGTAGGGAAGTTCTGAGCTGCCTATGTCCCGGAGCATCTTGAAGCAGATGGCTGAAGGTGACAAGAAGGTATGAGGGTGGGTGGGCTAGAGGGGGCATCGCATTGTAGCAAAATGGCTGGCTGGATGGGAAAGAACAGGCCTGGGAATGGCAAGGAGTAAGCTGAAAAGGAGACCTGGAGAATTGGATACAGTGGGAAGTCCTTCGACTTCTTCACTGTTCAAATGGCCCTGACTGAGTTCAAGATAAGATAAAGAGCAGTTATGCATATAAGTCTACGTATCCTTATTTACCCACTCATATTTCCATCCATTCATTGAACCAGTTACCTTTTCATCCATTTATCCCCATCCATCTATCCATCTACCCATCTGTCTCTCCTCCACACATTCATCATATATGTGTTTCTATCATTCTATCCATCTGTTTGTCCATTTTTTGCATTCATATACATATTCATCCATCCAGGCCACTGATGGTGAACCTATGGCACATGTGCTGCAGTGGGCTGTTTGTATCATTGAAAGTTCTAAAATGTTTGCCACTGACCTAGACACTCATAAATCCATCCACCCACTTATTCATAAATCCACCCACCAATCTATCCATAAATTCATCCATCCATCTATCCCTCTATTGATCCCTTCTTTGATCCTTCCATTCTGCCTCCTGTCATCTAGCACTTCTTAGTATTTAAGTGAAGGGGGAAGCATTCCAAGGAGGGGCCAGGCCTCCACAGAGGTTCTGAGGTGTAGAAGCAGAGTGGAATGGAGTGGGAGATGGGCACTCTTTGGGTTTTGGGTGGTGTTTCAGGAGTCATGAACAATCCCAGTGGGGTCTGCAGGGCTCTCTGCTGAAAGCTTCATTTGTTCTCCACACCCCTTGCAATCTCCAAGGTCCCTCCAAGGTCCCTCACTCTTGGGCATTTTTCCTGTGGAGGGTATAGTAGGATCTAGGTCCCTTCCCCTTTCGTGGCTGAGTCCCAGGGCTGGCAGTCACCCGAATTGTAGGCTTCCTCCATGAACATCTTGCGGTCCTTGAACATAAGTGCAGCCTGACTGCTCATAGACTTGTGGGGCAGGACACCGGAGGGATGAGCCTGTTGGTTCCTGCAGGCAGAGTCCTGAGGGGCCTTCATGTGTGATGGCTCCAACATGGACATGGAGACAGAGGAGGAGATCCTGAAATGGAGAAGGGTCCCAGTGTGAGTGTCTGAGGGTGTCTGTATTTATTCAAGGTGACAGAGTAAGGGATGATGGTGGGGGTCAATCTCATAGTGTCCTTCCCTGAGTCTATATCCTTCTCCCTTTGATGGCCTGGAAGGAGGGCAGAGGATGAGGCCTTAGGATACTGTTGAGTTGACAGCAATCCCCAAGGACACACGAGTGCCTGGCTACCCTGTAGAAACAGGCACAGATGCACTGGTGGGATGCAGGAGAGCTCAGGCTGCTACATTGCCTGCTCCACTTCTCACACTGACTTGGAGGAGCCAGTTTCTTTGAGACCACATAGAAGATTGCCCTGTCTGTCCAGGGCTCATGGGAGGGTTCTCTGAGGTCAGAAAAGCTACAGGAGCAGGTGGAGGGTGTGGGGCCCTATCAAGCTTGTGTCTGCCTTCTTCTCTGTTCCTCCTGTTCTGCAAACAAGGGGAAGGATTTCCACACACTGATGGTTGCCACAAAGAGGATGCATCCTTGCTTTTTGGAGAGCTGCACACGCTGCCCCCCCCCTCCAGTGGGGCCCCCAGAGCTTCTACTTTTTTACTCTCAGTTATGATTTCTGGCACCTCCTTCAAGTGAAGCCTATCCCAGTCTGCCCCAGGGTACATCTCATAGGGTAGCAATAGTAAAAAAACTGAACAGGTAAAGTACATGGCATTTTAGACAGAAGTTCATCTCTTCACATTATGTTCCTTCATCTCTTCCACCACATAAGCGAGTCAGGCCATCTTACTCAGAATATTTCCAGCCCCTCCCTCCATGCACAGGAAATCCAAGGCCCTGAAAATAACAGGGAAGACACTGATGCTTCCAGGTAAGTGGGTCAGCCAGACATGGGTTTACCTTCTACCTCAAGGAAATTGAAAATTGGAAAAAATACACACAGTCATAGCTATCAGACATCACACAGCAGCAGCAGCAGCACAAAAAAGTGGCCCCTGAGAGATGGGAAACCAACAAGGCCAGCTTGAACTACCACAGCCAACTGGCAAGACAGTTTCCAGTTTCTGGTACAGGGTGGGGGGAACATGATGGCCTGTAGCCTCCTAAATTTGAAGTACTGGAGGTGGCAGCTTGGAGAGATCAAAGTGGGTAGGGTTTGCAGGGAGAAGGCAGAGGAGGGACTTGCACAGGGAGGGAAGGATCGAGATAGACAGAGCAAGCCCTTCTTCATCTGTACTCAGTGCACATGAGAAAGAACCTCTCAAAAGGAATAGAGGGAACAACCCTCAGAGCTCACACAGGACTGAGAAGAGCTCCATTTCCATTAGCCACAGTGCATGGGGGAATTAGGCAGAGTACTTTGAATAGTGTTAGCTCAGTAATGGAGAGAATCAGCCCTAAACAAGGATGCAGAGATCTTCTCTACCAAAGCTCTAAAAGCAAGACTCAAACAGAACAAACTTTAATAATTCACATCCCAGGGCTAGGGATTTAGCTCAATGGTGCCACACCTGTCTGGTATATATATAAAAAAAAAATCCACACCTCATAATGAAGCTCAAGCATACAGAAATACCCAGTACCCAACAAAGTAAAAATCACAATGTCTGGCATCCAATCAAAATTTACCAGGCACATAAAGAAGGAAGACAATATGATCCACAGGGAAGAGAAAAACCAGTTGATCAAAACCAACCTAGATCTGGGAAGATGGTGAAGTGGTAAACAGATTTGAGGCAATCCTGATCAAAATATCTGACAAAATTAGAGAAAATAATTCTGAAATTCATTTGGAACTAGAAGGGACCCAGAATAGAAAAAGCAATTCTGGGAAGCAAAGGCATCACAATCCCTGACTTGAAATTATACTACAAAGCTACTGTGATAAAACAGCACGGTACTGGCAAACCCCTCCCCCAGCCCACAAAAAAACAAGACCTGAGGATTAATAGAACAGATTAAAGATGAAGAAACAACTCCAAACACACTCAGCCACCTTATCTTTGGCAAACAGCCTCACTAGAAGGGGTCAAACAGCCTCACTAGAAGAAAGTTAGCCTCTTTAATAAATCATGCAGGGAAAACTGGCTTTCCATGTATCATAGATTAATCCTAGACCCATATATCTTACCATGAAATAAACTAAAATAGAAATGAATTAAAGATATAAATGCTAAAACAGAAACACAAGAAAGACAAGTATTTTTCATTGAGATGATCAATAATGAATGTATTTCCCATAAAGTGAAAAAAAAATGAAATCTACTGGAAGATAAAATAAGTAGAACCCTTGAAGACATAGGTGTAGGCAAAGACTTTATGAACAAAACCCTGATTTATTACACAAGAAATATTACAAAGAATCAACAACTGGGATCTCATCTTATTGAAAAGCTTTTGCACAGCAAAAGAACTACCAACATTTCAAAAAGGGAAGAAAGGAGCTAAAGGTGTAGGGAAGGTGGGATGAGTAGGGGAAGGGTAATAAGGGAAAAGAAAAAAATGTGAGATAATGAAAAGATGGAAATAAAGTATTTGTAGATGGGAAGGGGAGGAGGGGGTGAAGGGAGGGCAGGGGTAAGGGGAAAAAATGAGAATCAAGACTTGTCATGTGGAGGTACAAGATCCCAACAATGAATGCAACTGTACTGTATCCCTAAAATGTACCAATAAACTCAATTAAAGCTGAAAAAAAAAACTACCAACAGAGTGGAGACAACCCATAGAGTAGGAAAAAATTTTGCTAGCTGTTTCTCAGACAAATAACTAATATTTAGAACTTATAAAGAACAAAATAGACCCATCAAATTTAAAGACCTACTTGAAAAATGGTCATCTGAAATAAATAGACACTTCTCACAAATGGCAAATAAGTATATGAAAACTCTTCAACATCACTGGTCATTTGAGAGATATAAATTAAAACACTGAGATTCCATCTCACTCCAGAAGAATGGCTCTCATAAAAAATCAACCAACAATAAATACCAGGGAAAAAGGAACACTTCTTCCCTGTTGGTGGGAGTGTAAACTTGTGCCACCACTGTGGAAATCAGTACGAAGATTCCTTAAAAACTAAAACTAGAGGTCCCATTTGACCCAACTATTCCCCTTCTTGGTAACTTCCCAAAAGAATTAAAATCATCATACAACAAAGACATATGCACACTTACGTTTATAGCAGCATAATTTATAGTAGCTAAATCTTGACAACAGTCTAAATGACCATCTATGGATGAATGGAAAGGACATGTTTTGTTTTTTTAAAATACAATAGAGTATTGCTCTGACACTAAGAAGGCAGACCTTGAAACATTTCTAGGTAAATGGATGCACCTTGAGTGAGATCATGCTCTTAAGTGAAATAAATTGGATGCACATGTTTATATTTAACACTGTTTCTCTGGTGTGAGAAACTGAAAGGGTAAATAAGGACAAAAATGTATAACAAATATTGGGAAATAGGAAGAAAATGTTCAAAAGGTAAGGGGGACAAGGAAGAAAGAGGAGAAAGGAAGGAAGGGAAAAGAAAAAGAGCAAATAGAAAAAACAGAGACAAAGCTGTTTAAAATAAGAATTATAAAGATTAGAGCAGAAATCAATGCAATGGAAACTAAGAAAATGATACAAAAAATAAATGAATCAAAGAGTTGGTTTTTTGAAAGAATAAATAAAATTGATAAACCCTTAGCAAACCTTATCAAAAAAAGGAAAGGAAAGGCTCAGATCCATGCAATCAGAAATGAAAAAGGTGAAGTCACAACAGATCCAACAGAAATCCAGAGGATCATTAATACCTACTTTGAGAACCTGTACTCTAATAAAATGGAAAACACAGAACAAATGGACAGATTTCTAGTTACTTATGAATTACCAAGGCTGAATGAAGAAGATAAAAACATTTTAAACACCCCAATTGCAATCAGTGAAATTGAAAATGTGATTAAGAACTTACCAACAAAGAAAAGCCCAGGTCCTGATGGATTCACTGCTGAATTTTACAAAACATTTAGAGAAGAACTACTGCCGTTACTCTTCAAATTTTTCAATGAAATTGAAAGAGAAGCAATACTTCCAAATTCATTCCTGGAGGCAAGTATCACTTTGATTACCAAACCAGAAAAAGACGCAACTAAAAAAGAGAACTACAGGCCAATCTCCTTAATGAATATAAATGCAAAAATCCTTAATAAGATATTAGCAAACAGAATACAGAGGATTATCAAGAAGATCATACATCCTGACCAAGTCAGATTTATTCCAGGGATGCAAGGATGGTTCAACATACATAAATCAATAAATGTAATATAGTATATTAAGAAAGTCAAGGACAAAAACCACATGATCCTCTTGATAGATGCAGAAAAAGCATTTGACAAAATTCAACACCCATTTATGATAAAACCCTACAAAAATTGGAATAGATGGTCTATATCTCAACTTAATAAAGGCTATCTATGAAAAACCAACAGCCAACATCATATTAAATGGCCAAAAACTGAAAACCTTCATGGTAAAATCAGGAACAAGACAAGGATGCCCACTATCACCACTCCTCTTCGATATAGTTCTGGAAACATTAGCCATAGCAATTAGACAAGAAAAAGAAATTAAAGCAATAAAGACAGGAAAGGAAGAAGTTAAACTGTCATTATTTGCTGATAATATGATACTCTACATTGAAGACCCAAAAAAACTCCACCAAAAGACTTCTAGACTTAATTGACACTTTTAGCAGAGTAGCAGGATACAAGGTCAACACACAAAAATCAATAGCCTTCTTGTATACAAACAATTAACTCACTGAGAGAGAAATTAGGGAAACAATTCCTCTCACAATAGCATAAAAAAATGAAGTATCTAGGAATCAACCTAACAAAAGAAGCAAAAGACCTCTACACTGAAAACTACAGCACTATGAAAAAAGAGATCGAAGAGGATATAAGAAAATGGAAAGACATCCTCTGCTCCTGGGTAGGAAGAATCAACGTAGTGAAAATTGCCATACTACCAAAACT